CCACTGCACTCCAGTCTGGGCGACAGAGTGAGACTCTGACTCAAAAAAAAAAAAAGAATTGGGTCTTGAATTTGAGTTTGAAATTCACTCAAAGGAGCTGAGTAGGAAAGCACATGTTCTCTTTTCTCCTCAATTTTTTATTCAGAAAAAAAATTCTGACGTTTTGTTTTGTTTTTTTGAGAGTCTCACTCCATCACCCAGGCTAGAGTGCAGTGGCACGATCAGGCTACTGCAGCCTCGACCTGCTGGACATGGGCGATCCTTGTGCCTCAGCCTTCCAAGTAGCTGGAACCACAGGTGTGCGCCACCCCACCCAGCTAATATTTTTGATTTATTGTAGAGACGAGGTCTCACCAAGTTGCCCAGGCTGTTTGTTTTCCAATCTGTGGGCTGAGGCAGTCCTCTCACCTGAGCCTCCAAAGTGCTGGGATGACAGGCTTGAGCCACTGCGCCCAGCCTAGGGAGTGTTTTTAGGTCAGCAAGGGCAGACCCAAGATCATTCAGAGGGTTGGGAGGAGTATTACAAGGAGCGAGGAGTTGTGTTTATCAGAATGGAGAGCCTTTGGGGCTTTGAGTTGAGACTGCAGCAACAGGTCCTTCTGTTTTTCGAAGGCCAAGCAGTTCCTGCTCCTGCGGGGGCCCCCCCCGGCGGCCAGCCGGACTACAGTGCGGCCTGGGCTGAGTACTACCGACAGCAGGCCGCCTACTACGCCCAGACGAGTCCTCAGGGGCTGCCACAGCACCCTCCTGCACCTCAGGTACAGTACAGTTGCGATGGGTCGGCTTCCGCTCTCATCGTGCTTTCTGCATGTCTGCTGCTTGTCTGTCTGGGAGTATGTTTGCCGTTTAAAGTTTTATCTGGCAAAGTACAGCTAAACGAAGGACTGTGGTGTGTTGTTTGGGTTTTGGATTGTTTTTTATGATGCTTTCTGGCATCTGAGTGCTGAATGTTTCTACAGTGTCTTTGATTTTAAAAATAAATTTTCTTCCCCCAGGGATTTGCAAATCATGCAAGAAGCCACCACCATTTATATTAACCAGTTTTTCTTTCTTAAAGGATTCACTCCTGAATTAGCTCCGTTTCAAGGATTTTCTTTAACTTTTTGTGTATTTCTTATGTATCTCTTCTGCACAGGGCCAATAATAAGAAGTGGACAATACAGTATTTGCTTCATTGTGTGGGGGAAAAAAACCTTTGTTAAATATATGGATGCAGACGACTTGATGAAGATCTTAATTTTGGTTTTGGTTTAAAATAGTGTTTTTTTTTTTTTGAAAATGTACAAAATATCTATCACTACTGATAGGAGGCTCATATTTCTGTGTAGAAATGAAAATTGGTTTGTTTTTAGTCCTTAGTGTAGATGTACACATTCCAGCAAATGTATTTGCAACTCTGATGTGGTCGATGCTTTGTGATATAAATGTACTTTTTCAATGTATACTTTCACTTTTAAAATGCCTGTTTTGTGCTTTGCAATAAATGATATGAAACCTCCTGTGTCGGTAAGTTGGATATGTGGGCGAAGGATTCCCGATTTCTTAGCAATGGTAAATTAAGGTACATATACACGAAATACGTAAGCTTTCCCGTGAAGTGCTGAGTTTTTAAACACTGGCATGTTTCTTCCCCCTTGCAGTATAGTGGTAGATTGGAGGATCTTTTCCATTTATTGTATCTGGCTGTTTCAGCACAAGTAATCCTGATGTCTTCATTTTTTTCCTTCTGTTTGATTAAAAACTGCATGTGTGTACAGTGATCTTTTGGCATACTTCCATTGCATTAACAGTGAAATTTCCTTTTATACATGACCACTGTTTCAGACCTCTACTGCTGCTATAACAGTTAACCTTTCTGTTCTTAATTTGATAATTACTTGATTTCCAAGACTGTTTCAGCATAACTAATTTTAAACAGTTTTCAGACAGTGAATATGACTAGTCTAATAAGAACAGTTTCTTTTCCATGTGAAGCTACTCTTTCGATGTATATCATATTAGTGTGTTTCTTCCTAAACTTAGGGTAGAAAAGTGAATAGTATGCAAAAAGTAGAGCTACATTGCATCTGCCATTGAAACATAAATGGGGTATGGAAACGTTCAAGCTTTTTTTTCTTTTTGCAGTATAGATAAGCTTTGTTTTGTAAATGCACAAGTCCAGTCATTGAATCAACTTAATTTTTTTATGTATTTGAAATCATTTTATTACTCTAACACTCATGCTGAAGTTCTGATATTTTGTTGAAATCCATTGTTTACTCTTTGCATATTTGTTGGCTCTTTGCATATTAATATATTAGACTACATGCAAATACAGTCTGTCTTGCCATTGTCTGTTGAAGTGCAGGTTTGATCCAGCCAGTATAGAACTAGCTCTGTAGGGGTGAGAAGGACTGTGCTGTGTATCATCCTTGATTGTGTTCCTTCAAGGAGCATTGCACTGTAAGTACATCGGAATGACAAATCGATGAACTGCAACAGTATCTTTTTGTCAGTGTTCCACATAATGCAAATGCCATACTTTGTGTGAATATTATGTTGGAATACAGTGCTGATATCTTGGAAAATCGTAACTGCTTCTTAACTTATAGAATAATACGTAGTTCTGTATTTTTTTAAGTGAGCTTAATGGGTAAGTATTTTTGACATGCTTCAGCTGTAGCTAAAGAAAACTGATCATTTACAAAGCTGAATAGTATTCCTCTCTGGTGCTCCGAAAATACCGTTTTCAGTGTGAAATATGCATATCTCATATATTGATACGAAGACTTGAAATGTGTCAGACAGAAGGGGATTTCAGTTTGCAAATGATGAGCAATGTAGCAACTTGAACACCTTTTCATAAATATATTCTGTCATTGACGGGGAGCACCCATTGTTGCTTTGAATATACTTTGAAGGAAGATGTGCAAGGAGGAAAAGAGTACGGTTCATGCAGATATTTTGAAATGCTTTTGACCGTTTTATGTGACCTAGAGTGACTGCCCTTACCCTCATTTAGATCTGGATATGCAGTTCTAGTTTGAAGTTTAATAGTTAAGGAGGAGTTAGTTACCTGCTATCTCAAGAGTAGGGTATTGATGTGAACAATTTCAGTATTTTGCATGATACTGTTTTATAGATGACCTTTTAGGAAAGTGGTGCATTTATTAAATGCAAGAAATAGTTGAGGTGAATTCAGTGTCATAGCTCACAAAGCAGAGGCTGTTGATTTTGATTCATTGAAGGTTTAAAATCTTTATTAATTGCAAACAGTGCAATGATTTATGCTTCACAGTGCCTTCCCAGACCTTCCACCTTAGGTTCTGCTGCAAAAAGCACCAGGTAAGCACAACCTAAGGACGTGTATCCATGACTCTCAGTACATTGATGTTGTCCCTGTGAGGTTTTTGTGGTTGTGTATTCAAAAGCAATCTGCTGCTGCTTCCCCAAATGTATTTTGTTATTTATGCTACCATTTTAGTGGAAAGTCTTTAAGTTGTTCAAGCAGCTGTTTACATTTCTGGGTAATGTTTTTGTTTTAATTTTTTTTTCATTAAAACAAGAAAATGATGAGTAGATTGCTGCAGTAATGGAACTATTTCCAAATTTTTGTATTTCCCCCCCCCCCAATATGGATGTGTTAATATAAGAAAGGACAGTTACACAGTTTTCAAGATTTAGGAAATCACTTGTTTAGAAATGTCAACAGCCTTCACAGTCTGTTTATGTGATTGACAGGACATTTTTTTTGCCCTCCAAAGCTATGATTTTTTTTTTCCTTATTCTTGACTTTAATAATTCACTAAACACATGGGTCAGAGTTTTATGATGATTTTTTTTCTTAAGACAATTCAGTTTTCATAACTTTTATATATGCTGAAAAAAGAATTATAAGGAATACTGGCAGTATGTTTTGATAAAAGGCATGTGTATCAGTGAAATGTTAACTGTTTAGCAAATAACCTTTCATAATCTGTAGCAACCAGTACTTTTCTGATTTAATAATATTTTAATAACCAACGCTGCATTTATTTTATTTTTTGCCAGTTTAAATGTTTGTGTGTTCTTATAGATGATTATAACTGGTACCTATTTCGAGTTAAGATGAACTGTATTAAAGCAGCATCGTGTCCGTTTTGTTCACTCGATTTCTGAAATGTGCTGATCCTTGTAAAACTCCTGCTTATCTCTACAACACAGAAAAATACTCAAAAATACTGCCTTCATTTTCACACACAGTGCTGAAGATGCTGCAAGCACCAAATCATAGCTCATAAAATCAGGTCCTGAGATAGTTGCCCATAAAGAGGAATCCTTTGAGTGTATGCCATTGGTGAGCCGATGAGCATGGACCGTAGAAGGGCTCAATGTAGAAGGTAAAATTGGCAAATCATAACTGAGAATATGCAATGTATTCCCATACATAATATGATGTAGGGTGTAATGTACCTGCTTTTGATCACTTTTTCTTTTAAAGTGCTGTTCACTTGACCTTAAATGTTCCATGAACTGTTAAATTTCTTAAGTTACGTAGTTACTGCACCACACTTATGTGTATGTATGTTTTCATAGTCGATGATAGGTATGTAAGATTGATAATAGAAGGGGGCTCATTATTACTTAAGTAAAAACGTAAGAGCCTGTCAAGTTTTGGTTAGCTTAGGTTGCATTTTTGTAAAAGAACATATAGATAGATGAATGCTAATAGATTTGGGGGCATTGTTTCTATCTTAGAATTTTTTTATTCGTTACCATAATAAGCCTTCACTAATACTATAAGCATTATTTTCAATGGCGCTAATCTTAACCTGAAATAAATGGAAAGCAGAAAAGGTGAGCCAGTTGATTTGAATGCAATGGATATATTAGTGTTAGAAACAATGTTTGCTTTGGAATGAAATTAAAGTGATTTATTTAGCACTTAAACAAAAAATTGACAATGTTTTTTTAAAAGACCTATTAGTGTGGTGATTCTTAGAATTCTATGGTTTGCTGTTTCTTTTAGAAATGAGAAGTATAGTTTTATTTTTTAATTATTGAAAATGGTTTTAATACTAAAACTAGTAATTTGATACTAGTTGTTTATAAGCATTGTAAAATGTATTCTTAAGTATCTTGGTAGGTAATTCATGAGGGTGGGTGTGGGTAGAAGTAGCCGAGTACCTTCAGAGGTAGAGAGAAAGAATTCAGAAGTGAGAATATTTCATTTGTTTGCCAGTAGAATTAGCTCTATTTAGAAAGTTATCTGTTGTGTAGAATAATGACATAGAATTTACTGATCAATGAGGATGTCTTTTTATTTTCTGCAAATTCTGCCTCATTTAAAATGCATCTTAACAGTACCTGATTAAAAATAATTGTACTCTGAAAATAACCTTATTTTTTGTTTAGTTAGTGACTTAGTTTTTCTTGCCACAATGTAAGCTTGTGAGGGAATTTTTTTTTAAGTTGGTGCTTTTAAGAAGCAAATGCATCCCTGGGTTTTCTTTTCTTCAGTGATGTCCCTATAGAAATTCTTAAATGTATTTGCGCATATATATATTTTTTCTTATGCATGCTCAATGCATTTTCGTCCTGAGAAAAATGTTCTCTGCAGAAACTACCCGTGTGTAAAAAGAAGATTGGCTTAAAATGGCTACTGTGATGGGAACAGTGTCTTAGGGAGATGCAGCTTGGACTTGAGGTAAATTGAGAGTCTGCTTTACTGGCATTGTATGTAAACGGGCACATGACTGGTGTGATTTTGTGTTCATTATGGTTTCCTCAGTAAATAAATGTACATTGACGAGTATCACCAGAGTGCGTTGTGTCCTTTATACATCGCTCGGCAAACCATGTCCTGCTTAGCTGGTTTTCGTTAGAGGCTGACCGTGAGGAAACATGAGTTTGAAATTAAAGGTAAACATCTTACTGTACCCGTCTTTAAAATACAGAAAAACCGTTTTTTAATCCAGAAGTCACTTATTATGGGTTTACATTGTACAATAAAATTGTCTTCCAGAAGATGAAATACAAAACAACTTGATAAATGAACATGGTAGCTAATTATTTACAGACTCATTTTAAAGCCTAGAATTTTAAGTGGAAGGTTGCGCCGTTTTTTCCCCGTGTTTAATACTCTAGGTCTTGAAACCTTGGATTATGTTGAAAGTGTTTTCTCCTGCATGAACTATTCATACAAGGTTTTCTCATCAAAATATAATCCGTTCAGGCAAGATCACAACATCAATTTGCTTTATAAAATTTAATTCTATGTTATGCACATTTAGAAAATACACGTTTACTATCCTCAATGCTCAGAACACTGTATGGGCAGTATTTCTTGAAAATTCTTTGATTTTTTTCTGCATGCTCCCCCTTCCTGCGAAGGGAGCGACACTCCACACTCCACAGCATGTCGGCTTCCGCGAGACTGGAAAGACTCAAGGAGAGAGCCCTGTGATGGGCTCCAGGTTCACTGTCTCAGCCGTTGCAGCCTGACTTTGGCTGCAGAAAACGCATCGGTGGCATTCGTTCATGCAACACAATGTGTTCCACTCGTGGGTTTTTTCCAGCATTGTTGCTGTGAACTCCTACGGGAAGTGCACGGCCTTTGTAATACCGTCCTGAGAGGAGAATCAAAGCAATTTCCCACACCCCCTCCCCAAACACGTTTTATCGACTGGGGCTGCGTGATGTGGCGAGAGACCTGGTGCTCGTGTGGAAAGGAAGGTGTTCCTCAGGTGAGCTTTGTTGGAGGCCGCTGCGAAAGGAGTCAGAAGGCAGCAGAGTGGCCCTTCTGGTCTGCCTTTGGGCCCCGCCACAGAAAGGACGGGTGGAGCGAGAAAGTGGGAGGGAGGGAGAGGAGGGGAGCTAGTAGCCATCAGCTAAAAGAGAAGAAGAAAAGTGATTGGGGGGTGTTTCGGGCGGGATAAAGCTCGGACTAGGGGCAGTCAGTCCTTACTTTCGATGGTCAGGAGGCAGGTGCTCGCCGCAGAGCCCCTGCCGTTGGCCGCGCTGCACATGTACTCGCCTCCGTCCTCCGGGAACGTCTCCGGCAAGTAAAGGCAGTACGTCTCGCCCCTTTCGATGTACTGGTAGTCCTCCCCGTCCTGCAGCATCTCGCCCTCGAACCACCACGTGACTTCCGGCCTGGGCTCGCCCGTGACCTTCACGGTGAATCTCACGGGCTCGCCGTCCACCACAGACGTGTTCTTGAGGGGCTTCCTGAACCACGGAGCTCCCGACCTGGCGGGCTCTTGGTCTTCCACGGCGGTGCCGTTCACGACGCTGCCCTCTTCCTCCTCCTCCTCCTCTCTTTTCTGTAGTAAAATAAGTGCGTCAGGTTGGCATCGGCAGGTGTACTGCAGTACTTGCAGGCGGTGAGCAACGGGATTTGGAGGGGGGTGTGTTTTAAGAACCTGCAAGTGTATGCTTACTACAGAGTGTTCCTAAAACGTTCCAGTGACTTGAAGGATATTGAGGCTTTTTTTTGGTAACCCTGCTCACGTAACTTTGGTTTTTAAGAGAGCATCTTGGGAAAATGTGAGGACATGGAAGGAAGCCTGGTACCTTTTGTAGTGCTGCATCGATTTCTCTTTGCTCAAACTGCATGCGTAGTAACTTTTGTTCTTCAATTCTTCTTTGTTCTTCTTCTTCTCTTGCCTTAGCCATCTGTTCAAATCTAGCTTTCATATTCACTTTGTGAGTAAATGGTGCCTCGCTTTTTTTGGCAGGCTTGACATCAACATCTTCTTCCTTCAAGAAAGTAAGCCAAGAATGACAATGGCTTGTTTTCTAAAAGCCAAGAACTGAAAGTTTTGATAGTAATAAAGGTCTCCTTTATAAGCACAAAATAACATGTCTGGTAAGCGCATTTGTGATACACTCCTTCTCACTAGTCTCCACACCACTGTTCATCTTACTGCCTGAGAGATGTGGCTTCTCTTACTTTTCACTTAATGATTTTCTTTCCTCGCCCCCCTCCCTTTTTTTTTTTTTTTGAGTTGGAGTCTCACTCTGTCACCCAGACTGGAGTACAGTGGCCGCTCCCAGCCACCGCAGCCTCGACCTGCTGGGCTCCGGCGATCCTTCCGCCTCAGCCTTCCAAGTAGCTGGAACTACAGGCGTGCGCTACCACGTCCGGCTAATTTTTTGATTTTTATTGTAGAGATGCGGTCTCGCCAAGTTGCCCAGGCAGGTCTCGAACCCATGGGCTCAGGCAATCCACTCACTTCAGCCTCCCAAGGTGCAGGATTACAGGCTGAGCCACCGAGCCCAGCCCCTCACCCTTCTTAAAGCTGTCCGTGATTAATGCCACCCAAATGATTGATGTTGGTCAAGTGACAGACAAGGCTGTTAATAGGTACAAAAACAGGTAGAAACAACTCGAATAGCTGGAACATGGAGAGGTCGAGGTGAAATAATGCGTGAGTCATCTGTTGGGTGAGTTAGAAGCCATGGGCATAAGGGAGAGGTTTAAAAGCAGAGTGGTAGCTGTCAAATAGTGTGATCTAGGAAAAAGCCAAATTGGCAATGGTAAGGTCACCAATGGCCTCTGGGAGTACTTTTCTAGTGGAGTACAGTTCATTCATGTTCTGAAGCGGTTGACTTGGTTTCTAAGCTACTTGGGCTTTTGTGGATCTGTCTGGCAGTCTCACCATTTATATTTAAATAGTCCTACGGGGAGCTGGCTTCAGGGTGCCACACCCAACCAAGGAAGGGGAGTTTTGACACAAGCTGTAGATTAAAGAAAAATCTTGGTTTAGGGGTGTTTCACATCACTTTGAGGTGTGGAGCCTCGGTTCTAATGAGAAGGTTGTACAAAGTTGGACAATTTTTCTGGTTCTGGTTCAGATTTTTGTTTGATGTTGGAAAATCCTGGACACCAACTGATAGATAAATTGTTTTGTGCCATTATGTACCTTTAGCTTATAATGTCTGACTATGGTTGTTGCTAAAGAATGAAGCTGTGAGATTTTTAAATATACCTAAAAATAGACTAAGAAAAATACATGTTAAACAATGGTTTGCTTACTGTAGTTTTATCTCAAGACTTTTTCCTAAGACTTAAAAAAAAAAAAAAAAAAGACACCTTTGTTCACACTGCACAGTTTTTTCATTTTGGTTTT